GAAAATGGATAAAAACTCATCATTCCAAAATTGTAATATGACAAACCAACAAACGAGAGGTTCTTGGTTAAACTAGAAACCAATTTCAACTCTAATATTACTTGGGGTGTCATGATCTCATCTCATCTTATTAGGAACAATATGATCATGCATATTTTGCCTGTATAATTTTATATATATATCTGAGTTTCAAACATAATTTAGGCTAAAATGTATAAAAACACATTCCAAAAGTGTAATATCACAAAGCAACAAACGACATATGTAAAAAATTTATACCTCTTTTTACCGATTCCCTCCCATTCCAACTTTCTGCTAACCCACGATACCATGCCTCTTCTTTTTCTTTTTCTTTTTCATGGCCTTCATCTGCAAAATACAACATCAATATTCCTTTTAGTAAGCAAGAAATGTCAAAAATGAAAGAAAAAGAATTCATGTATTGAAATGTATAAATTATGTACCTCAAGTTGATCGATAGGCATGATGGTTGAGAGTTTTGAGGTGCTGTGTGGAATTTGCAAAGGGATAAGGAGGAGGAGACTTGGTTTCAGTTTTGTGCTTGCTGAAGAGAGGAAGAGAGAGAGAGAGAGAGAGAGAGAGTTTTGATCTGGAGGCAGTGGGGAAGTAGAGGGTGGGTGCGGGTTGCATATATAATTATTGAGGTGCCTTGCGTCTTGTTACTGTAGCATGATTGTGATTGGGTGTCACATGCGAATCATACACATCTCTCATATATTTCTTTCACTTTGGCATGTAGAAATCATAGAAATTAAAAACACCCGATGTGATGCCTACTTGCTTTTGATTTAGTCAAATGGCAGCCATCTTTATGTTGGATTTTTTAAGTGGTTAGCCAAAGAAAAAGATAAAGAAAGGTATTTATGCAATTATTTCTGTTTTCAACCATGTAGCATGGGCCCCTCCTCATTTACCACGTATGTTTGGTGGGATGATAATGAATGGATGCAAGCAAAGCAAGGACAACATTTGCTTTTGATTTTGTAGTTTTTTCCAATTATGTTTACTTGTAAGTCTTCTTTTCGAGATGTAAAGAAGAAGAAGAAGAAAAAAAAGAATTTATTCTACAGAAGATATGTCACGGTAATAATCTTTTTATTCTTTTACAACAAATTAGATAACATTGGTCAGCAGAACCCAAGTAGCAGCAGGATTCTTGCTCCCATTATTTGAGACTCCATAAAGTGCCGCAGACAGAAAACAAAACAGAGAAGCAAACACAACTCATGAACTCAACAATACTACTAAATGATCACTCAGCAGAAGATTTGAGGGCATTTCCTCTAGCAAACTTGAGGAAAGCCACCACCTTCTCATGAGGATTGTGCGCCGCTTTCACCGCAGGGATCTCAGTCAGAGCTGTTATGGAGGAATAAATTAGTGGAGTATTCTCAGGGGTTATAAATTTTACTCCAAGGGCTTCTTCCTGAGCTTCATATGAACCAAAATGTGAACAAATGACCACCTCTAGTAGTCCCACATTTTCTTTGTCAAATGAATTAGGAAAGCCATTTGGGAAGAAACCCTTCAATCCCTCTTCAAGTAACTTAAGTTTCTCAGTCACTTCTTTCATGGCTTTCTCTTGTGCTTCTCCACTGGTTTTGACCACTGAGATCATGCTCTCAAACACCTGCACCAAAGAACAAACATATACAAGTTACTTTAATAATTTAATTAGCTTGAGTAACTCATTAAGCACTAAACATGGCTAAAAAAATGTACATGTTTTTTGTTCTCAAGTCTCACCTGTTGCAGATAGCTTGCCCAGAAGCGAACTTGGGATCTTTTATAGGGATCTTCTGGTAGAAGTTGAGGGCCAGTTTTCCAGGTTTCATCAATGTATTCAAGGATGACAAGAGACTCAACAATTGCTTTTCCATTGTGGACAAGAACTGGAACTTTCTGATGAACAGGATTGAATTTGAGGAGCAATGGGCTTTTGTTCCTCAAATCTTCCTCCACATATTCATAGGGTATGCCTTTGAGTCTGAGAGCCAATTCCACCCTCTTAACATAAGGGCTTACCCACATTCCATAAAGGGTCACTTTGTTTTCCTCTGCCATATCTCTCTCTCTCTCTAGTTTTTTATTTATCTGATGTTCAGTTAATTCTATTGGAAGCAGCTTATATAGAGTTTAAACCATTTGCTTAGCTTGCCTGACAAGTTGATAGTAAAACACTTGCCTGAAATGCCTTCCACAAAAAATTATCTGTATCTATTAAACAAGGCGCCTCAGCCAATAGGATTCTTGTTCCTAACAATTAGAATATGATATTATCATATTATAATGAAATGTATTATATCTTCCAAATTTTCAATTACCAACTACATACCTGGTCAAGTTATTGACCAGATAAAGCAGTGATATGTTTCTAAGAGCATTCAATTTTGTTTTGATCACTTGGCAGGTCCATTTTTCCATATTGCCATGGCCATTGCAGCATCACCAACCAAATTTTTCCATATAGTGGCCATTGCAGGTTGCAGCGTCACCAACCTACTTTTGCGCCGGCTGGTGAAGATGAAACTATAGCTAGCTAATCCAATTAGGTTACACAAGAACTTAAATTGTTGAAGCACAAGAAATTAATTCCATATGGGACGTGGGGTGGGAAATTACCTACTCCTTTAGAATTAGATCGTAGGCAGTGACGCTACATTTCAGATGAAAAGTTGTATTTTTCTACTTATATAGAATTTGCATAAACTAATCTCATGCTGTTAAATATTAGAGCAAGGTTTCATTATATATGATTCTTATCCTCATAGTTTATATATTTGTATATAATCGAATTAGTTGACAACAATACCTCTCCCTTAAGCATGCTTGTATAGTGAGATAATAATTTGCATTCTTGGATCTTTGGTCAAGTATATATTATCAGCGGGTTTAATCAGTGCCGGTAAAAATACATTTCTGTTGCCAGGCCTGAAACCACTGGCTCTGCAGCTACAAAAGTTGGGTTTAAATAGTAAAATATATTTCAAGGGTATAAGATATGGAAAAGTTGTGACTCACCAACTTAACAAAGCCATTCATGCTTCAATTCACCTTTCTACACACAAAGCTTGAGTCGCATTTTCAAACAAAGTGTCAAGACACCCAAGAGAATTCTTCTATGGTGTTTGTGACAAGACAAGGGGCATGGAGGAAATTGAAGCAAGGATTTCTCATGACAAGCCAAGTAGTGACTGATTTCAAGTCCTCTCCCCTCCCCAACTTGCCTGCAGTTTGATCAACTATGTATAGCATAATTAAGCATAGTATTCTATTCTAGTCTGCCATCAAAACCGAGGCGAGCATGTAATTTGATACCCAACTGCAAGCCTTGATTTCCTCAATCCAAACGTCCTTATAAATCAAAGCTGTAAAATGTAAAAACAATGCATAGCAGTTGGTCCTAGTCCATTATGGACAAAACTGCGAAGTTCCCTTTCCATTTATGTTGAACAAGGGTCATTTCCAACCATGCTCCAACTAGAAGCATCCTATTAAAACCACAAAAAAGAAAGATTCATGTGGTGATATGTTGGTCTACAAAATGTCAATATTTCTGAATGAAAAAAAAGGAAGATACAGTCAAAACTTTGATTACTAATCTAAGCAGCAAGCAGCAAGAGGAAGCTTCTAAGTCAGCCTCAGCGCCATTTCTTGAAGAAGAGCTCGCTTCTGCACAGCACTTATTACATGGTTGGTCTCGGCATTCTCAACAACATTAGTGATAATGGCAGCTTCATATCTTGGAAGTTTGTAACAAGACAAATTGCTCATGGAAAAGATACATACCATAGACAATTGTGATGAAATTGAGCAAGATAATACTCCTCATCTTCTTGGATGCAAAGAAATGTTGGAAAACCAACAATCAGTGACTGATAAAAATATTTATATATCAATAATATATTTGCCAACAAAATTGAAATTTAAAATGAATTGTAAATTGAAATACAGTAAACAACAAATTAATGAAACTGACTTGGATTTGAGATAGAGGCTTGAAGATTTGATGCAATGTCCTAAAGAGAGTAATTTCACCCCTTCGCGGTGCTTGAAGTTCTACAGGTGACTGTCTCCCAGGATTCAACTATCTATATTCTAAGCCCTATAGCACTAGGACTTGGAATCTTGCGAACTTTGTTTGTCCTCCTCTCAGACAACATGCATATGCTTGTATAATGCTTTTACTGTACATAACGAATGAGGGTTCTTCAGACTTAAATAAACTTCTGAAACCTTATCAGAAGGGTTACAACTGTTAAAAACAGTTATTTAAACTAATCTGAATTAATAAAAAATTATTAATCCGAAACTAAAAAATTAATTTAAATCTGAAGTCCAATTGTGTGAAACTTAGGAATAAAAAGTTCTTGTCCCAAGGTGGTTTTTCATGAAAATGCTAATATCTATTTTACAAGAATTATATTTCAAACCCAAAGTCAAACTAAGAAGCATCAAAATGTGGAATTTACTCCAAACAAATGGCTTTTCTTTGCGGCTTCTTAACAATGCAATTGTCACTTAATTCTCAATTATTGAAATGTGGTATTTGTGGAATCAAGTTTTTAGCAGCTTCTACATTACTTATCAAATTGCCAGCAACATTTTATGGGAAGTAAGAAAGAGGTCTATATGAAAACAGAAAGAAAAACACCATATAAACCAATATATGACAATAGGCTTTCGTACGACGGTTTTTGATTTATAGCTACGGTTGTTGACGGTTTTTGCACTTTTAGTAACGATTTAAATGTCCCTAACCTGTAAAACATATATAGCGGCGATAAAAATCGTCGCTAACTGTTGCTAAACCTTGAATTTGCAGCGAGTGGAAAAACCGTCGCTAAATCTGGGAAAATAATTTTACTTCACCACTCCTATGGGCTCGATGATATTTGGTAGCCAAAAAGAAAAAGAACATTAAACCTCCTTTATCTTTATATGTATATATATATTGTATGAAAACAGTACTAAAATTGTCGTCCAAAGTATTACTTGGATACATGTAAATACCCCAACCAGTTGAACAAAATAGATATGATAGGAAAAAAAATTCAATGAAGTTTATCACCGCATCCATTCTGGAGGCGATTCTTCTTCTCTACTAACATGCTAGCAACTTTATGCGTGTTCTTAATCCTTCTTTGAAATGGTCTCTAACAAATTCCACAACCATAAAAGTAGGATCTGAAGCTGGACTGCTACCTCTGAACATCCCTTGTGCATCTTCAGCCATCCATACACAACTAATTGCATTCAACCATTCATTGTACCTAAAGTTCACTACAAACATTAGATTGAAATCAGAAAATCCTTTTGCTATCACATCTGACTGTCGGCCAATGAGTAATACAACCATATACTGTATACAAAGTTTACTCATGAATGTTAGGCCCATATCAAATATACCAGATTGAAAGGAAAATTGCTATATAGAATTTCCCTTCCCCTTCTTGCCAAAAATGTTGAAAGGTCAGTTTGAAATAACAATCAACGCAAAATTTACTTAAGTTAATTTTCTGACAATAGCCCCTCAATTTTGTCCCCAAGAGTTGTTATTCGTTGACATTTAACCAAAATGGTAGTCAAGGGTGCATTGATAAAACAGCAATAGGATTGTAGAAACCCCTGAATGATACAAAAGATAAATGGTGCTTGTGCTTGTGCACCTATGTGATCAGTGTTCACATGCAGAACACCTGACTTGTCAAGCCTTGTTCAGGTAACAGTAAGTACACTAAAGATCAAAAGATGGTATGTCTGAATTTTCCTTGCTGGGACAAAGTAAAACAAGAAAATAGTGTGGTGAATGCATGTTAAGAAGTTGCAATCCTAATTGAGTAAATTTTGGTTATTAGGAGTTGCAATCCCATTTTCCCAGTGGTACGAAGCAAATGATGTAAAGGCAAAAATAAAAGGGTGAGACATACAAACAATCAGTATTCTATACACTGTTAGACCAGCAAAAGCTACTCCACAATCACCCAACAACAATCTGATCATAATTCATATGAGTGCTGACCACTATCTGCCTAATGAAAGAAAAATTACCCAACAAGAAGATATGCACTAATACCTGACAGCATTTACCCTAAAGAAAATAATGAATTCAATAATAGAACTATCAATAGAACAAAGAAGGTCAAAGTACAAGCACGGTACATACCACCAGCCACTCCTCTAAGCATGACTCCCTCAATAGAAATATCAATATGAAAATTTGGATTTTGTAATTTGCTTCCCATACTCAAATCTTTTAAGCCTTCATAGAGCATAGTCTGCAAAATGCACAGGAAATTATTTTGAAACCAAACCATTATCCTAGAAATAAGAACTAAAGCTTGTAAGGAAAGAGGAACAGAATAATGACAACTAAATAAATTAGAGGCCAAAAGGCTAACTGCCTCTGATTCACCAATTATCAAAATATGGCACGTCAGAATTTTCTTTTAGGAGACAAAATAAAACAATAAACTAGTGGGGTGGGGGAATGCACGTTAAGAAGTCGCAATCCTATTTGAATAAAATTTGGCTATTACAAGGTGCAGTCCTATTTTCCTTAGTGTTACAACGCAAATGATGTCAAGGCCAAAAGAAAACGGTAAGACATACAATCTCAAACTAAGCAACTTTTTTTTTTCTTCTAAAAAACACAAATTTTATTAATTAAAGAAGAGCTACAAGGAGGATGAATGAGGTGTCCATCTAAAATCCCATGAACATCCTCAATCCTAAGCACCAAGTACAATCAAATCAAAACAACTAGGGTAAGACATACAATCTCAAACTTTCTTCTAAAAAACACAAATTTTATTAATTAACGAAGAGCTACAAGGAGGATGAATGAGGTGTCCATCTAAAATCCCATGAACATCCTCAATCCTAAGCACCAAGTACAATCAAATCAAAACAACTATGTGGATGACACAGACCAGTTGTTCTAAAGAGGCCAATAGTGTGAAATACTATTCATTGCCTAATTCCAATCATAATGAAAAACATAGAGAAGAGGGAAGGAGGAGGAGAGAACACCATACATTTGGATCCAAGGCATCATAGGTAAGATATGGAAGACTTTAGCAAGACAATAAGAGGCCAACACTTGATAATTTACTTTCTTACATAGAGTTTCATTAAAGTTAAATGCCATCCATACGAACATACCAAAATTTGAGCTTCACCCACTAGCCATGAATATTACTTCTATAACATCTTTACTCTATGATCATACCTGATTTGTGTGAGGAGCTTCACCCAATAGCTCCCCGTCCCCTCACAAATTCTGACTGATTAAAAAATCAATTAGTAACTTCCCACAAGTCCACAAATACTTACAATTCTGATATTAAAAAAAAGCATTACAAACGTAGAATCAGACAAATTTTTTATTATTCATTTTGGCAATTATACATTCACTAAATACCAAAAACGTTGATTTCTTTTCTTTCCCAACAAGATCTTTTGATAAAGGAACACAATCTTTCATCTGCTTCAAATTCCAAAACGTGTAGTTAAACCTATCTTTAAAATTCAAGGGTTTCATTCTCTCATTTTAATTGCTTGATGTCTTCCAACCATACTAATATGACAGAAAGAATCCAAATTTTCTTTTAAAACAAATTATCGCTACTTCCATGGCATAAGGTCCATCTAATTGAAGTAAAAAAAAAATGGAGTAGAGTAGAGAAGCAGCCACCAGACCCGCCCAGGCGCCGCCTAACTCCCTGGCGCCTACCCCTAACGATTAGGATGAAATCTAACGCCTAGGCGGCCGCCTAGGCCGATTTTTCGAACACCGTTAATATGACAGATAGAATCCAAGTTATCGCTACTTCCGTGGCATAAGGCCCATCTAATGAAGTAAAAAAATGGAGAATTGTAAGGCTTACCGGTGAAAAAATATGATGAACTAGTGGGGGTTACCCATTTCAGAAGAGAAGGTGAGGACTGACAAGGCGAACACCGTCGAACAGAACGAACAGTATGGGCCTCTGGTGATTCTTTGTTTTTTTTGGTCAAATGGGCCGCTGGTTCTGGGAATTAGTTTTGGATCGTTGGATGGGGAAGAAGAGGGGGAAAAACACAAAGTTAATACTACCCCTACTTTTCCTTATATTGTGCTAGGGTAGAAACGCCGTCGTCTGCTCCTTGTGCAGTGGAAAATTACCAGATGACCCCATTGAATTTACTGTCTTTTTTGTTTTGATTGTATGAATTTACTGTCTTCGATTGACAGTAAACTATAGCATATTTGTTTGACGAAAGAGCATTACTTGTTGGCTTTTACCCTTTTTGCTGAACATAACATCTAATGGTATTTGTTTGTATTCATACAAGCTTCATGATTTAAGTTTCAATCACAAAAATCTAAGAAATTTAAGTATAACAAAGAGATGTGCTCGTATCGTATGTCTTTAAAAAATAAGTAACATTAGAAAGACAAGAACTATATGAGCTGTTCTTCAAATAATTCTATTTTCCAGTGTACCATATTTATTAATCACATAGAACTACGTCGTGTTATTAAATTGTTTTATTCTTCTACAACAAATTAGTCAACATTGGTCAGCAGAACCCAAGCAGCAGCAGGATTCTTGCTCCCATTAATTGAGACTCTAAAAAGGGCCACAAACACAAAAGAAAACTGAGGGATTGACAACAAGAAGCAAACACAACTCAACAATACTACTAAATGGTCACTCTGCAGAATATTTGAGGGCATTTCCTCTAATGAACTTGATGAAAGCCACCACCTTCTCATGACGATTGCGTGCCTCTTTCACCCGCAGGGATCTCAGTCAGAGCTGTTATGGAGGAATAAATTAGTGGAGTCTTCTCAGGGTTTATACACTTCAGTCCAAGGGCTTCTTCCTGAGCTTCATATGAACCAAAATGTGAAAAAAATGACCACCTCTAGCAGTCCCACATTTTTTATGTCAAATGAATTAGGAACCCTTCAATCCCTCTTCAAGCCATCTGGGAAGAAACCCTTCAATCCCTCTTCAAGTAACTTCATTGTCTCAGTCACTTGTTTCATGGTTTTATCTTGTGCGTCTCCATTGGGTTTGACAACTGAGCTGAGACCATGCTCTCATACATCTGCACAAAGCAACAAATATATATATTTAAGTTAATGAATAATTTAATTAGCTTGAATGAGTGATTAAGCATTGCTAAAAAATGTACATTTTGTTGTTGTTCTCAAGTCTCACCTTTTGCATAAAGCTTGCCCAGAAGCGAACTTGGGATCTTCGGGTACAAGTCGAGGGCCAGTTTCCAAGGTTTCATCGATGTATTCAAGGATGACAAGAGACTCAACAATTGGTTTTCCATTGTGGGCAAAAACTGGAACTTTCTGATGAACAGGATTCAATTTGAGGAGCAATGGGCTTTTGTTCCTCAAATCTTCCTCCACATATTCATAAGGTATGCCTTTGAGTCTGAGAGCCAATTCCACCCTCTTAACATAAGGGCTTGCCCACATTCCATATAGGGTCACTTTGTTTTCCTCTGCCATCTCTCTCTCTACTTTCTAGCTTTTGATCTGATGTTCAATTAGAATATTGATCAGATAGGATGGTAACTCCCTGCGCCCTTAGATGATCGTAGGCAGCGATGCTACATATCAAAAGTTATATGATAAAGCCAATCAAAGTGTATTTTCTACTCACTTATACATAATTATCAAATGACCCCAATATTCTGTTTCATTTCATAGAAATTAAGCACCAAACGTATAAGTAGATGATATTATTACAGAGACAAATGAACAAATGAAATGTACCAACTTTGGTAGATAGATAATATATGTGAACATTTTGTTTGTTATCCAAATATCACTAAATAACTAAGTTGGTAGCTCAACTATTTTTTGTAAGAAATTGCAAGAACTTCCAGGAAGCCAAAGCATATGAACTAATTTATCAGAAATTGCAGCTTCCACCATTGAAGATGAGCAGCAAATTCTTGCATTTGCTGTCCATGTATCCCTGTCAATCCATAGTGCCATTTTATAGCTTTTAGGCGTGGGCTTGTACAGAGACTTTTGCTGTTGTTCTTTCCTCTAAGATAGTATTGGCTAAAGAACATCTTGTCTATGCAGATGCCCAACCTAGTTTCTGTTGTGTGAAAAGGAGAGAAGTGACCATGGGATCCACCTTTGGTTGTAAGATAGCTACAGAATTAAATGTTGCCACCCAACTTGCTCATATCAGATCATGTGTTGGACGGGTCATTATGATGACATTCCTCAATGGTCCATCTTTATAATTAATTATATTGCCATTGAGAGTTTCAAATCTCTATATCAAATCAAATAAATAAAAAAAGATAATGGCGATATCTTCTTTTGATACAAGCGATAATGACAATATCTAGAACCTCGGATGCATGGATAAATGCTCTTAACCAATTGAGCTACAAGCCCCTTAAAAAGTTGATGAAATTTCATTGCCTTGTCTCTGTGTGGTTTCATGTTTAATGCAGGGTCCATTGACATGACAGAAGCTTTTCTCTGACTCTGGTAAGTCGTAATATATTTTCTTTTTCTCTCAATAATGTGCCCATGTCGGGCTGCAAAGAAAGCTTATGGCAACCTGACTAATGAGTGTTAGCACTTTCTCAAGCATGAGCTGCATTTGTAGGGCCTTTAGTTTCTTAGATTTGAGATACAGATTTGTGGAATTATAAAGATAGAAGTCATAAGTGAGGCTAAGGTGGCTTGCCAAAAGCAGCTTCTGTTAAAGTCGTTAAAAAGATCCAAAACATGAATGGCCACCCACTTGTAAATCAAGAAAACAAAGATAAAATTAGAACTGAAAAGTCAGAAAATATGTTGGACAAGGTCGGTTGTGGTCTATCATTAATCTTTTGGTGTAAATGGCCCCAAAAATCTGGAATCTCTCTTTTCAGTGTTTCTGGGCTGTTTTGCCTTTGAGTGACACAAGGATATTTAAGAAATGTTCTCTGATGAGATAGTTTTGGCAATAGTGAGACTGTCAATTTGAACTTGATAAGGTTGGTTCTTCTTTGAATAAATGGTTTTAATATTACCCACCAAAAGTTTTCTGTCATCTTTATTTAATCAACAAGTAGACATGAAAGACATAAACAAGATAAATCAGAAAGTGAAGCTTATCTCAAACTTAGAACGATCAAATGATTAGCTGTAGATTAATATAAAGATGGAAGTTTGACAAACTTTCTCAAATATTTCATCATTCCATTGCGCATTCACTCTGGCATGTACAAAGACAGTAATGCATTTGCATAGTTTGATTATAACCCTCCTAAGGCAAAGGCATGTTGCACGTAGTAATTTTCTTGCCACAGTCTCAGACTGTAACTTTCCCCTTTTCCATTGAAGATTCTAACCTTTGAGCAAGTCCTGCTGTGCCAGTGGTTGTTGGATCAGGTGTTCCGCCGTTTGCTGCCAGTTTATTTTCATCACTGGCTGTGACAACACTCCTATCCATGCTGGTCTCACTTGACTCATACCGGGCGGCAGAGGCCACAGACATTCCATCAGATGCGTGACTTGTGAAGGGTGTTTGTCCACTGCCAGGTAGGTTCTCTATCTCAAACAAATCTGAACTAGCATCACTCTCCACATCTTCATTGATCACCGGACCTGTCCCCGAAGCATTTGAGAGGCTTTGAGCTTTTGGAATGGCATCCCAACTTAGCATGGAGAGCCTTCTCTCCAGATTTATTGCTACTATGTCTCCCTTCATCATGTGGGATCCAAACACCTCCAGCGACTTTCGTGGCTCTTCTTCTTTTGTTTTCTTCTCTCCCAACTGTGATTTAGCTGCAGATTTCTGTGCACTAGAATTCAAATTTGTGAATGCAAAATGCTCTTCCTTGTGTGATGTTTGAAAGCTAGAGTAGTGAAGCTCATCTCTGTCCTTGAATCTTGGTTGAGACTGCTTGACAGGATTTTTATCAATTCGAACGCTTTGCTTCCTGGCATCTTTACCATGATGCCCTCCATGCTCAGCATTTATCTCATGAATATAAATGGCTTTCTTATCTGAACATCCATTGCAGCTGAAAATAGACAAGCTTTTGATCTTTCCATTTACCTTTTTCTTCTTATTGTGAGATGAGTTTCTCAGAGACGGTAACAAGGTGCTTTGGCTGTTCCAACTTGCTTCAGAACAAGTACTTGGAGTTCCTGGCCTGCTCTTTGGTTGCTTGTAGTGCTGACCAGTTCTGTTTTCTTTCTTATTATGCCCATGTTTGCTTGTGTTATAGTCCACAATTCTTGGACCCTCATCTTCCAGCATCATGTTGAAATACCTTTCAGCACCAAAGACGCTGATTTCGCCCTCCTCAGTCTTTCGGCTCAAGGTCATGGCAGGAGGGGGAGTCTGAACTGACCCTGCAAGTTTGAGGACAAAGTTCCCTTCTGCTTCGCTGATGTAAGAAGAAAATGAAGCATCCCGGGTATGAGCACTGTTGTTAGCTTTTCCTTCCATGATTTCTTTAAAGTTTGATACTTAAGAGTACGGTTAGAATTGAGCAGAGGGAGAAAGCACAAAATTGGACAAGGGGAAAAGCTAATTTCAGTGACAGGGAGCTTTCGGAGGATTGGAGATGACCATGCTTCTTGAGAACCAGTTCTTATAAGTAGGCTTGTGGGAGGGTCCTACATCCTTGGGCTAAATTGCAACTAGGCCACCCCTTTCCCTCATCACATTAAGTGCCTTGTACTCTTCATTTTGTCACTGATCTAATAAGAAGTAAGGGAAAGAAAAAATCCCTTTGTCATCTCATCTAGTGAGTTTGAACACTATAAACAAAGTCTTTACTGATGTTTTGCTTATAATATGTGAAGTACTATTAGATTATGCAGCGTTTCTTTTTGGTACAGATTATGCCAAAGTTAGAAATAAGCATAACATGCTTGCTTGCTCACTGATATGGTAGTATGTGATTGTTATGCTAATTTGGTATTGGCAACATAGTTGAAGTTTGAGAGCATTATCAATTTCCTTAATCAACACTTTATATTAAAAACTATTAATTGATTCGATATCGAATAATAAAATCAAATTAAATAATTAATTTTAATCCACGAGTGTTGCATGGGTCAATCTACAAGTAAATATTAAAAAAGAGAACAAAAACTAACATTGACTTAGAAGAAAATGCTGTAGAACTGTGATTTTAAGGGCCAAGAAAATAATTAAAAAGACAATTAATTAAACGAAGAGAGGGGAAGAACAAGGCAATCAACAAAAATGCTGTAGAAGACACGTTCTTTGGCTCACACCTTGCTTGGAGCTGGAGGGCCAGAATATGTGGAATTGTCCCTTTTGTTTCTTAATCACTCTGAGGATGTAGAATTGTCTTCACCTGCAACCCAGTACCGTTTAACAGCAAACAGTACCTTTTCGGGAACAAGAGGGCCATCTTCATGATCCACCATTTTCGTATTCCATCTCATTCCTCTCACAATTTTGCTCACCTTGACTAGCACATCCATGTGATCACGGAAAATCACTGCTCCTTCAGGCCGTAGAATCCGATCCATCTCCAAAAGAATGTCTTCAGCATCACACCTGCATTGGCTTTTTATTAGTACAAAAAGATCAAGTACCTTTGACTGATGGAAAAACACCATTTGCAATCGATGGTAAGGAGCAGGGTCGAACACAACTTACTTATCCTTGTACAAGCTGAAAACACCATTTGCATGAATAAGGTCATATGTCCTTGGATATGTGGAGAAGGCTTCACACCTGGTGGAAGACAAAAATATTATCAAACACACAATAATAGCATGTACAAAAAACAGCATTTAAGAAAGCCAAGGGCATCCACTGTGAACTTCAAAAGACAACAGTAAGCTACCTCTACCATATCTAACCACTTTCTATTTTGGCAGTTAAATTCATTTTTATAAGAGAACAAAATATGAAAAAGAAAGGAAACACTCTGGATGAGTGATTGGTTCAAGTAGTAAGAGAAAATGTGTTACCATGCTCTTGCAAAGAGCCCTGAGAGATCAGAAAGGAAAAATAAAATTCTTGTAGCAGGCCCGAAATATTTCGGAAGCTGTTTTTGAGTTTATAAATAAGATAATACTAAAAATAATTACAAAAGGATCACCAAAATTGACATGCAGGTTGTGTTTATTTAAATCCTCATCCTCTGCAAAATTAGAGGCCACTCTGAGAAAAATTATTGCCACAGAGCAGGAACAAAACAGAAAAGGATTGTTCGAAAATTACCAATCATGATAAATGCCTATCAGTCCACGTTCGAATATAACTCCCAAAGTGTCTTTCTCAGCTATAGTAGGCATAACATTCATAACCCACAATTTGGGAGAGTCAAGAGCAGCAGCAAAACATCCCAGACCGGCATTCATATCCATAATGTTGCGATACCTTCCTGTATCCAGTAATTTGTTGGTCCTCTTATAAGCATTCACATGTTTCTTCCATGACCTATTGTCCTCCTGGTATGTCTCAGGAGAAACTCCAGGGATGGATCCACTAGATATTCTGAAAGGTAAAGCATTGAGCCTCTCTGGAAATGGCTTCCATGCCCCACCAGCATCCTCATTGGGATCAGAAGTCCCGGGATAAGGAGTTATGCACAACTCCATCTTCTTGTACCTAAGAAACAGAAAAAGGTTAAATTCTGCTCTGGAACATGGCAAAAAAATGCATCCAACTAAACTGATAACTGAAAAAAAAAAAGACTAAGAAATCCTACATTAACACAAAGCAATCTAAAATTATTTTTTTTATAAAATTATATATTTCTTTCTCAAATTAACTCAGACTTATTCCAACTGCTTCAGGTTAGCTACATGAATCTTTCTCTGAAACTAATTTGGATCCACCACATGAAGTTTATATCACCATTCAACTAAACAGTTAATGCAATCTCAGTGTTACCCAAAATTTTTACAGACATTACGAATTCCTTTCTATAATTCTCCTCTTGCTTCCATCTATATTCACGAAATTTACGGAAGAAACTTTACTGTATAAGACAAAAGAAAAAAAAGAAATCGTAAATGGGACAAGAAAAGCAGCAAAAAGAGACTGTATTCCACAATAACTTTCATGCACTGTCAAAGAAGTAGTGCACGGCAGTATGTATGAGTTCAATAAAATTCTTTCTTCTTTGCAGGATGTGTGCATATAGAACTTTCCCAGTCATAAAATAATGGGCCAATAAATGTTCAATCAAATTGTAAAAGACTCAGTAGATCAAATAAAGCAATATACCAAACATCATCTGCGTTCGTGGATTCACACATAGTAGGTTGAGGATCTCGGTCACGATGATAGTCAAAACTTGTTTGTTTCCTCCAGATGGCAATTTCACCCTTCTCATGCTTCTTTTCCCAGTTAAGAAGTTTCGCCATCTCTTCAATCTTCCTCTGTTCTTCCTCAAGTTCTTCTTTAGGACGCTGCCATGCTACATAATTATTCCTCCAGTTAATAGGAGGACCAGAAAGCACCCAGTAACCACCAGGTCTAAGAACTCGATCAACTTCCATCATGTACATTCCATCTGCAAAAGAAGTCCAAGGATGATTTCATGTCATAAATGATATCATGTCGTTACCTAAAAGGAATCAAAATCACTTATGAAGGTCCTGCACTTAATAAAAAGTAAAGCAAGTCATTTGTCCAATGCCATAAATATATGGCAGCAGGAGCAGGGATAAGTGGCTTGGAAGCTCGATGGAAAAATGGCAAGCCCTGATTATTCAAGGCAGCCTCAGCAGAGCCGACATCTAGACTACGCTCAATTAAGGTCATTAACATATGAACTTAGGTGGTGATACAGATATATCTATGTGCGTATGTTTGCATTTATGTATGAATACATGTAATTAGGCATCAATATCAACGGCTAATTTATGAGCATCACCATTTGCACCCCATGGAATCAGGCAACGAGAACAGTGAGCCATGTCAAAGGCCCTAGATGGATAAGGCAGCTTTATAGTTCCAAGAACGCCAATAACTGCTGGAACACCTCTTTCCAGAGCAAATTGAACTTGTGCTTCGTGAGAGTCTCTTGGTGCGAATGACATTGCTATAACATTCTTTTTAAACAGGTAGGCACCCCAGCTGGCAACCTATGAAGTATGAACCAACATGGGTAATAAATCAAATAGAAGAAAAAAATATAAATATAGACCACAAAAAATAAGTTTCATAGGCTAGATAAAAATACTACGACAAAAGCAAAAGAGTGCACCCATCATAGAAACGGGTGAACATAAATATGGTACTAGGTGGCACTTCAAAACACAGACAATCTGCAACTTTGCTAGGTACTTGAGAATTGGGATGTAAGTTCCAAAGAGGGGCAAGAATACAGTTGTATTTGAGAATAGCAGTATAAACAGCCAAGCAGATTAAAGGAGCAGAAAAAGGGAAAAAGGAAAAGAAAAAGATATTTAAGTTACCCCACATCCAGTATCCAATGCAGTTCTAACCATCCCACTGTCCATTGGGATCACAGCTGCAAGTTCATTGATATACGCATCTGCTCCACGAGGAAACTGTGTTCCACCACCTGGGAACCTAAACACATTGCCCTCATATTGAATCCAATTCTGAACAGCCTTCTCAACTGTCAGGCTCTTATAAGGAGCATTGGCATACGGTACGTAGTCGCGGCTTTGGGGCCATCGAAACGGGGTCACATATCCTTTGGGTGCTGGAATAAGGCAATGCAGCTTCTCTTCGTCAGGCGGACAGTGTCGTTCCCTGTAATTCATATTTTCTCGGGGGAAAGTCATTGCTCGCATTTGATCTTGACAGGGAGTGTAATCAATATAGTGATCGCTGCATGGTTTGAACTCATTGACAACTCCTTCAGAATCATCAATCCCAACATGATGGGTCTCATAATTCAGATTGGAAAGAATACTACAGTCTGTCTGTTTGGTAATCTCTAAAGCTATGCTATCTCCTTTTCCAAATCCACTTCGCTGCCATGCACCCAATATGTAAAAGAAACAACACAGACCAGCAACAATGAAAACAGACATGGAGCTTCGACTTCTGTTGTCTCCTGAGTTCCCTTTTGTCGCCATGATGTACCTGAATGTATTTTCGGATTCCCAATAACAATTATGACTTTTGCTAAATAAATGAAAGGAAATATAGGATAGATTTGAAGTGGCTGAGCATTCTAAAAGGATTTCGAGAATAATAGGAGACTCTATAAGTGGGACATTGAAGAACCCTCAGACTTGTCAGATTTTGCCCCCTTTGCATTCCTTTTTCATACAATTTCTATCACTTATAAAAAAAATGTGATTCTTAGTATATAACTTTCCAGGTTTGAATTAATCAAAGATACCGAGACAATGACAAGGACACATATATAAGCAAGCGGGTCAATAATGAAACATAGCCACTAGTTTAGAAGGCATAAACAAAATCTTAAGAGCATATGCAGAAAAAGTAAATCAGAATATGAGAGTTTCAAATATTTTATTACTTAGAACCTCCAAACCCACCTCTCAGCTAAGCCTAACACAACCCCTAAGCTCAATCAATGTGAATTCCACATTGATTGAAACAGAAATCATCCAATCATATCCAATTGGAATTCTTTTGCTTTCTTTGTTCCCGTTTTCTTTTTCTTTTTCCATTTATTCGAAATCAACCAACAATCACAGACAATTGAACAAAATCAACAACAAAACCATACCACAAAACTTGATTCAAATAAAGAAGTAAAACTTTTCAACAAAATCCCAAAAATAAAAGAGTCAGAAAGTGCAGGCTAGATATCATGCATATGTAGATAGTAAAGCATCCAATAAATGAAAATTCATAACTAAATCAAAAGAATTGAAAACTCTTACCGGATCTCAGGGAGCGGAAGTGACAATCTTTGTGGGGTCCAATCAAATCAAATGCATCTTCACCTTCTACAATCCATAACACAAGACAGAGCCAGAGACATCGAGAGGAAGAAGACAACTTTATGCACCAAAATGTGCCAGAAATCGTGGGTAGTTGCTAAAACGGTGAAAGGAACGAGATTTCAGAAATTGTGGGTTGTGGCCGGCTTTTCTCTGTTCGTTTATTTTCTCAGGCGACAAGGCTAACACTGCAAACAGAACACAAGTACGATGAGTCCGAGGAATACGGAGTCGATTGTTCCTGTGTTTTGCGCACACACAGTGTTTCAATTCTAGTTAGTTAATTAAAAGACTTTAAGATCGCATGTTTTTAAGGCAAAATAGGATGATGATTGTTACACCCAATCAGATCCCGCCATTTTAGTTCCCAATCAGTTGGGTCCCGCGGACACAAGAAATGTACAGGGCCTTGTGAAAAACGACGCCGTTGGGACTTAAATAGCACACAATTTTTTGACCAAGTTTAAAGCTTTGCCTTTTCTCTCCAAGATGAAAGCTTTGAATTATCAAATCAAACAGACAAACCGCCACTCTGCTTTGATTGATGAGCACCTCATTTCACCTCCAGCGACAAAGACTGGTTCATCTTCTCCGCCTAAACCCTTGCCTCTTCTCTCCCCAAAACCTCCTTCAAATCCAAGCCAAGCTCACAACCACAGGCCTCCTCTTCTCAGAGCCCTCATGCCTTCTCTCACTCCTAAACCTTTCTCTCTCAAGCTCTGCGACTGTTCATCAAGCCACTGCCTTGTTCATCCACACACAAACACCCAATGTGGCCGCATGGCCCATCATGGTCCGCAGGCTCAACTTAGACAACGAACCTTTTCAGGTTTTTTCTCTGTTCAAAGCCATGCAAAGGCTAAAACGTAATGACCCAGTTTGTGATTCGTTTGTGTTTGCTTCTTTGATCAAGGCTTGTAACAAGTTATCCGCTTTGCGAGAAGGAAAGTCTGTACATTGTCATGTTGTTAGGCTTGGTTTGGATTATAATGTGAATTTGTTGAACAGTGTAGTCAGTTTTTATTCGTGTTCGAAGAGTTTGGTGGGATATGCTTGTGCTGTGTTTGATAGAATTCCTCACAAAACGGTTGTAACTGTTAATTGTATGCTTTCTGGGTTTGTGAAGAACAATCTGTCCGATGCGGGATTGGGTTTGTTCAATGAAGTTTTGCGTTGTGGTTTTGGTTTGGAGTTGAAGCCAAATTATGTCACTTTGGTTATTTTGATTTCAGGGTGTGTGGAATTTGATGAGTTCAGTGTGGGAAAGGCACTTCATTCATACTGTTGTAGGACAGGTTTGGATTTGGTAAATGAGGTATGCAATGCACTTATTGATTTGTATTCAAAGTTCGGGCGTATGGACGAAGCCGCAAGCTTGTTTAATGAAATGCCCGAGAGGGATTTGATTTCCTGGAATACCATGATTGCAGGATATGCTGGTGTAAGTGATTGCAGAAGAGCTTTCTCTTTGTTTAGAAAAATGAGAGAAAGAGGTGTTGGATTTGATAGAGTGTCATTTATTTGTTTGATTTTGGCTGCTTGTAATAGTGGAGATCTTGAGATGGGGAAGGTGGTTCATGGTTATATGACAACTTGGGGAACAGAAATAACTGTAGATATTAGCACAGCACTGACTAACTTGTACTGCAAATGCGGACAAATAGCGTGTGCTAAAAAAGTTTTGGATGAAGTAGCAGATGACAATATTGCATTGTGGAACTCTATGATCCATGGTTACGTCAAATGCGGGCATAATCAAGAGGCATTGGGGCTCTTCAATCAGATTCGATCTAGAAAGCTAAGGCCAGATGAAGTAACAATGGTAGGGTTAATCTTAGCTTGCCGAAACTCGGGGGATTTGTCTCATGGAATTGACATTCATTCTTATGTAGAGAGTTGTAATCATCTGCAAGGGAGTATTGTACTGCACAATGCGATTATAGATATGTATGCGAAATGTGGGAGCATGAACCGAGCTAAAGTTTTGTTTGATAAGATCCCAAAGAAAGATGTTGTTTCATGGACTTCAATTATAGTGGGGCATGCCATCAATGGTGAAGGAAAGGAATCCCTTCTTGCTTTCAGGAAAATGTGTGCGGAGAAAGTTGAACCAAACTCTGTTACATTCATAGGTGTTCTATCAGCATGCGATCATGCTGGTTTGGTTGATGAAGGTCTGAACTTGTATGATGCCATGTGCAAGTTTTACCATATCAAGCCCACGATCGAGCACTGTGGATGCATCATCGATATGCTTGCACGAGCAGGAAGGCTAGAGGAGGCGCACAAGTTTGTGAGGAGTATGCCTATAGAACCAAATGCAGTTGTTTGGAGGATGTTGATTAATGCGTGTAGGGTTCATGGTGATTTTGATAGGGGGTTATGTTTGGTTAGTGGGTTCACAGACCCAAAGACATTGCATGGTGCCGAAGATCATGTTACTTCTTCCAACATTCTTGCTGATGCAGGAAGGTGGGATGATGTTCTTCATCAGAGGAGCTTGATGGCAATCAGGAAAGCTCCAAAAGTTTCAGCTAAAAGCTCAGTTTCAGATTTTACCGAGTGAATAGTAAACAGATTATGAACTGTACAATTCATCAGCTACTGTCCCTGTATCCAGCTGCTACGGCCTGGAGCAGGGTGGACATTTGAGCCCCAGCTAGTTTCAGTGTTTTCTTTGAGCTCTAGGAGGTTGTAGACATCCACATAGCTAAACTGATATGGCGAAGGTTTAGATATTTGCTCTACAGGAATACTACCTCACCTATTTGAGCTCAAGTGATTCAACGCAGATAATGTGAAATGATGGCCCAGGTACAAGAAATTGTTCCAAATTTGTTACCAGAACAAATACATATTTTTAGTATAATAACAAAAGATAAGTTTTTCATTTCAAGGTATTTCTCGGGTTCGAAGATTGTGCAGATTCCCGTGATGTTTTGCTCCATAAAGCATAAAATGTGGCAGGGTCAAACATCTTGAAGAAACTATTAAGCAATTTGAAATTTATACTTGGAAGTGGTCTCCAAGACTACAACATGCCTCCTGCCAATGAGTGTTCTTGTTTTACCTTATGGCTCACACTAATATACTAAAAACAAGGACAGTTCAAAACGAATAACAAAATATATTTAAAACCAAAAGGATCAATCTCGTATCGCAACAGTATAACAGATCAGCTTCTCAAAGGTACTTGTATATAGAACAGCCAATCACAACGGTCTATGCAGCATTGCAACCTTTCTTTATACCATAAAATTTTGGAAAATGGTGCAACGGAATCTTGTTTGTTTCTGTTGTAAGGTATGTTCCTAAATTACAAGCAATGAAAAGGTGAATTGCTATATGGCATTCTGAATCTCCCTCAGAGCACCAGAAGTTGGAGCAAAGTTTAAAATGAAACCCCAATATCTCCCTCAATGGTAATCTAGAAAACATTCTCCACGATCATCAAGCATACCCCCACTTACAGTTGTTCCTTCCGAAAACTTCCCATTTGAAGCTGTTTCCAATTGATCATCCATCATAAATTGTTTTAATTCATTGCTGACATGCTGCACCCTCCCAGTTATCTCCAAGCACAAGCCGTTGGTGGGGCCCTTGTTTGCCTGTCTACCTTGAACAGACTTCTTACTACGGCCTGGATCCACAAAGAGTGGTTGTACTTTAAGAGTAGGATTTGGTTTAATCCGGTTCACTTCCCTTTCATCTCGTGGCCTCAAAATTCTGCTTTCTGATTCTAATTCAGACGCTTCATCTTCATTTACAAGGACCTGCATAACACAAAATGTTAGAGGGGCAAAATGCACCTTTAGCAAATGCTAGCTGAAGCTGCAAAAGCAACATGGAAGAAAAAGAAATTATCATGAAAAATCTAACTGCTGGAGCTAGTGGGGTAAAAATAAAAGTCAATCTTAATAAGCCCTTTTTTTCCCTTTCATTTTTGCAGAAACCTACTTGCAGAAAGTTTACAGCTGCAATACCAATAAGAAAAGTTTTGCTGCAAAAAATTCCACTCATACAATCATGCAAGTCCAATAGTGAAGAGTTTTATTACCTTGCGGCCAACCAAGTCAAAACTCACAACTACTTTACTTCGTTTCGCCCGCTCAGCTTCTTCAATCTCCTCCTGCTTCTTTATCAGAAGTTCCTTTTCCTGCAAGTAATAGAAAGGGGGACGGGAAAGGAGATGTGGATGAATTTAAAGTATGGAGCACCAATAACATTTGTTCTTGGAGCAGCAGAGGTAGAAATTACAAACCTCCTTTGACAACCAGCTGTTCCCTTCAATTTCATAGTAGTCACTTTGGTCATCAATAACTGTTGTACGTGCTGCAGAGTCTCGATCATACTCAACGAGTCTCTTTGCATAAGCTTCAGCTGCAGCTTCAGCATCTGATGTGGGAGCGAAACTTTCCTCCAGACCAGCATACGTGCTGCCTTCCTTCAGCACAAGAGCTCCACAAAAATTGCAAGGCCCCTCCCCCTCTTGTTCACAGACTATCTTCCCACAAGATAAACAATTGCTCACCAGTCCATGGCGACGGGCTTGGCATGAGCATGGCTTCCCCTGGTTGAATACAATTGATCCTTTGGCAGCCTCTGCAAGTGAAACAACTTTCCCAGCTTTCTTCTTCTTAGAATTACCTTGGTTTGCATTACTAGTGGTTCTTGACTCGCTGGTCTTAGTTGAAACCTGCTTTACCAGATTGCTGGAAGCTGCCTGATCACTGGCGCCTCTAGCCACTTTTGGCGTTTTCAATGGTTTCTTGGTTCCACTTGAAGAACCTTCATTTGAGGGTGGTTTAACATAGGCATGTAAATTTGAGGTTGGGAAAGCTGGGGTGCTGCAAAGATCTGCACGACCTCTTTTCTGTAAATATTCCTCAATCACAGACTTACCCACCTCTTGCCCAATTATGTTCTGCATGGAAAGACATGTAATTTCAGATACCAACACACAATAAGCTTCTGGTACCATACTTTGAGCAAAGGCTACATAAAAGGGTAGGCACAGGATAAGCTACCTATACATCAAATGACTCTACAAGAAAAGGAACTACACAAACAATTATCTCAATCTTCAATACATGAGCATTTGTCAAGAATCCAGTCCAAAACAAGAACCCAATAATACAAAAGGAAAACCCAATTGGTGTGGAGCAAATTGTGTGCCACTCTTTAAATGTAACCACCAGGCATTGCTATTTAAATTGCCATTGAACACTGGCTCATTAGAACCCCATTGATGCCTATCAAAACCAAATTTAAAACCAAAATAAAAATAAAAATCCAACAGCAATATATTATCACTGTGTTTTCAGACAAATTGATTCTACAAAAGTATGCAAATTGGAATCCACAAACATATTTTTTTTGCAGAAAAGGAAATGAATAATGAAAAGATAGAAGTTTAAGTAGGAGAGAGTGGGTTTACGTCAAGGTATTCTTTGGCGTCTTGAGGATCAGCGAGCTCACAGTAGGAGACTAAACCCGATATCATATCCTTATCCAGACCCAGACCCGTTTCCATCTTCTGGTATAGATCCACCAACGCCTTCTCCAGCCATTCTCCCGACGCTCCCATTCTCTCTCCTTCTCAAAGTTTCAAACTTTTTTTTTTCTCTCTCCTTCTCAGAGACGAGACTGGTTTGGGTATTGGGAACGAAGGGACTTTTCGGTGATAGCATACTGCGCTCGACCACGAGGCCTCATGTAGTTTATCTATGATCTTGCCACGTCAACAAGGAAAAGTGTATCTTGGGTCCCGCTTGTAAGATGACATGGCGCGATAGAAGCTGTGACTGGACCAAACGGAACTAAACACTCGCCGCAGAGAACCTAAACCTCCGTAGTTGCTTCTTCTTCACCTCTGTAACTCTGCCACTGCAATTTGAAACCTAATTGCCCCAATTTGACGCTTATATCTGTTCTCTGAAAATCCATTTTGGGAAATTTTAGCACAGAAACCATTACAATGCATTCGCTGCTTTTACATTTAGGTAGTTGTCCTTTTATTTGGAGATTATTCACCTTATCTATCTGTTAAATCCTGCTGTTAAGCGGATGAAGTTTTGGTCTTTTTGGTTCTGAGGTAGAGCAGAGAACGCAAAGAAGGTAAATTTTTGCACTTATTTCCAGCTGGTAGCAATTCATTTTCGTTTCTTTAACAGCTTCCCAGAAACCAAACTGAGCTTTAAGAGGAAATTGCAGTGATGAATTTTTGTGTAAATTTAAAAAGAATGATACTTTTTGGTTGCTTTCTCCTTTTTGTGGTTTCAGGATAGCTAAAGCTTCAGCAAGTGAAAACTGGTTTACAGAAGCTTCAAATTCTTCTGTGTTGTGGGTTATGTTGTTATCATCTATTAGCTATTAGTTATAGAACTTTCGAATGAGTCGCGCTTTACTTCCTAAGCATGTTTCTGCAGTTGTCAAATGCCAAAAGGATCCCCTTAAAGCGCTTGAAATGTTCAATTCAGTGAACAAGGAAGATGGGTTTAAGCACACATTACTTACTTACAAATGCATGATTGAAAAGCTTGGGGTTCATGGTGAGTTTGAAGCCATGGAGCGTGTGCTTTCTGAGATGAGGATGAATATCGATAATAGCTTACTAGAAGGGGTGTACATCGGAGCCATGAGGAATTATGGAAGGAAAGGAAAAGTTGAAGAAGCTGTCAATGTGTTTCAAAGGATGGAATTTTATAATTGTGAGCCCTCGGTTCAATCTTATAATGCAATCATGAATGTACTGGTTGAGTATGGATATTTTGATCAAGCCCATAAAGTGTATATGGGCATGAGAGATAACGGGATTGCTCCGGATGTGTATACTTATACGATACGGATAAAGTCTTTCTGTAAGACTAGGAGGCCTCATGTTGCATTGAGGCTTCTTAATAACATGCCTTCTCAGGGGTGCGAGTTCAATGCCGTCGCATATTGTACAGTCATAAGTGGATTTTATGAAGAGAATTATCGAATTGAGGCATATGAATTGTTTGGAGACATGCTTGGGCAAGGTATATGTCCCAGTGTTACCACATTTAACAAGCTTATACATACCTTGTCCAAGAAGGGGCATGTCCAAGAAAGCGAAAAACTTCTCAACAAGGTTCTGAAGAGGGGTGTGTCTCCAAATGTGTTTACATTCAATATTTTCATTCAAGGGCTTTGCAAAAATGGTTCGCTCAGTGGGGCTGTCAAAATGTTGGATGGTTTTATGATGGAAGGTCTAACTCCCGATGTTGTCACATATAATACATTGATCTTTGGCTTGTGTAAAAACTTCAAGGTTGAGGAAGCAGAGTGCTATATGCGTAAAATGGTAAACAACGGATTTCGGCCTGATGCCTTTACTTACAACAGTATTATTGATGGGTATTGCAAACTGGGTATGATACAAAAAGCAGATAAGATTCTCAGTGATGCCATTTTCAAGGGGTTTGAACCTGATGAGTTCACATATTGCTCGTTAATTAAGGGGTTATGCCAGGATGGCGACATTGACCGTGCCGTAGCTGTATTTGATGAGGCGTTGGGAAAGGGATTAAAGCCTAATATTGTTCTCTACAACACATTGGTAAAAGGGTTGTCACAGAATGGGCTTATCTTGCAAGCCTTGCAACTGATGAATGAGATGTCAAAAAATGGTTGCGGTCCCAATATCTGGACTTACAACTTAGTTATAAATGGGTTGTGCAAGATGGGTTATGTATCTGATGCCAGTAAACTCGTGAGTGATGCTATTGCCAGAGGATACCTTCCTGACATATTTACCTTCAATACATTAATAGATGGTTACTGTAAGCAGTTGAATCTGAATAGTGCTGTTGAGGTAATAAATAGCATGTGGAGTCATGGTGTTACTCCTGACGTGATCACATATAATACTGTGTTA